AGGGCATGGCTGACTGTCTTTATTAGGTTTTCTTCCTCTAAACTACGAAGATCGACTGCACAGTTGAGTTTCGGTTTCATTTTTTTTTTCATTGCATCTCCTCTTTCCTTTATTTTTGCTTCCTTGTTTTCCATTTCTGTTTTTACTCTTTTGTAACAACGTTCACGTCCAGAGCCTCTTTGGTGCTCCCTTCCGCCCCGCACCAACCACCCCACCTCCTCTCCTCTCTCCCTCCTTCTTTCCCTTTCTCTTCCTCCTCGTCTCTCTTGAGACAGGTCTAGTGGCCTGGTTGCCATCTGCTGCCTTTTTTTTTATGAGGTTGAGATCAGATGGCATCTAATCGATCGTCATGGTCTCCATGGTTACCAGGGTGACAGAGTACTTGGGAGAGACACATTCTCCAGCCTGGGGCTGTCAGACCATTCCTGAGAGGGGGAAAGAAAATAAAACCTCTTCCATCATATTTACACATTTACATCTTTCTCAAATGCAGTGAAACACAGGCCCTGTTCGTATTTTACATAGCTACTCAGTGGCTTGAGGTGGGGAATGCAATGTGTGTGTGTGTGTGTGTGTGTGTGTGTGTGTGTGTGTGTTGTCTTTCTACATACATATATTTTAAAAATACACAAGGACAGATGTAAAGATTTTTTTTAACCTGAGAACTCCACCCCCATCCACATGGATCATCACCTTATTTAGTTGCCCTTTTTCATGTTTCAGAAATAATCTAATCATTTTAATAAGTGGTCATTCTTCCAATAAACCACATTCTTCCAATAAACCACAGTATCGTTTTAAAACTCACAATTGACAATTATTGGCTTCAGAAAAAGAAATGTCTCCTTACACAATTACCAGTACTTTAACCTTTGATTAGGATCAATGGTAATGTAAATGTTAGTTGTCCTTTTTTGGTCAGGAATTATTTATAATACGGGAAGCAGTTATTCCTATGAAGAGCAGCCACAAAAGATGAAATCTGAGGAACATGACCACGTTCTTAATGCAAAGTGTGCCTGACCACAACCGGGGTCTATCAGGCTGTTCTGCCTAGGGGTGGGCCGACTCAGAAGAGACACCCAGGCCTTACTCTAATGGAATATGATGGTGTTGACAGCCCAGGTCTGGTTGAAAGAAAAAGACCTTGATATTGAGGATATGTAACTAATGAAACAGAGACTAGATTTTGGAGTAACTCAGAGACAAGAAAACCGAACCATCACACCACTAAATAAAGTTCAGACTGTAAAAGGAAGACTGTCCTTGATTTATTCACATACACTTGATGTTAGACCTGGATGACTGGGGGCTACAGGCTGCTTTACTTCCTTTCTGGTAATATATTACATTTTATAACACTTATTAGAAATTCTGCCCTTTTTTGTCTTCTTGGAAAAAAAATAATTTTAACATAGGTCTGAGAAGAAAAAAAGGTAGCAGTCCTCCCTCCCTCTACCCTCCCTCCCTCCGTCCCTCCCTTCCTTCCTTCCTTCCTCCCTCCCTCCCTCCCTTCCTTCCTTCCTTTCTTCCTTCCTTCCTTTGTCTGCTTCCCTTCAGACCTCCTGCCTCCCTTTCTGAACTGAATCTTAGTAAGATTCAGATAGATTCATCTGCAGTGCTTTGGCTGTTAAGCAAATATCACACTGATATTTGAAATAGAAATGATGCCATCAATTGGAGAAGAGACTTTAATATAAGGGAGAATAATTTGTCATGGACACAAACCCTCTTACTCATTCCACACCTCTGCATCTTGGCTAATACCTGCCTCTTCTTGCCTGTGTGCACTTCCCCCTACTCTCCCTTTCCTTGCCGGGGGGATCACCAACACAGAATGGTCAGGAAAACTATCTTATTGAAGTCTTGCCTACCCAGAACTCCCCATCACACAGATCTGAACTCCTAATGCTCTTTGGGTCTTTCTACCTCTCATTTAGGACCATGTCAGTGCTGCCTGGTACCCTAGCTTATAAATTGGTTCTGTGTGTCTGCTGCCTCTTGTTATACATCTACCCAGAGGGTAGATAGCTAGGTTCCTTCCTCACTGTGTACCTGGTTAGCCCTCACTGAATGCTGAATAGAACAGCAGTCTGTGGTACCCAAAAGGCTGGCTTCCCTTTTTAAGATTAGGGACCAAGTGTGGTTCCTTAGCAGTTCTTCGACCAGCAGTGGTTTTACTTTCAATCAGCCAAGAATCCTTCCTTACCTCCTCGTCTGCTATAATCTTGGACAAGCATGCTTCCAGAGAAGGTGGGTTCTACCTGTGAAGGAAATGAGTCCTTTGCTCCCTTCAGGACCACTGCCACAGCATGGTGTCAACTCACGCTTGCCTTTTGCAAATTGAGTTTGTCAGTGCTCAGCCACACAGCTAAGTGAAATGTTGTGTGATGCGGGCTGTCTCCTGGGAGAGAGAAGCTGGCATAAACCACATCCTAATGGGATCCAGAAACAAAGAAGCGTGAATGAAGTGTTAATTGCATTCATAAAGACATTAACAAAGGAATTAAAATGGCAGAAGCTTCCGTCCCCCAACTCAGGATTCACAGGAAAACATGTCATCCAAAGAATGCTTTAACCATAATCATCAAAGTTTATTGCTGGCCCCGTGCAGAAATAACTCTCAAATAAATATTAACTTTTCAGAGAACAAATGTTTTGCGTCTGTTATCTGGAGTCTGTTGACTCACATACAGCCTCATGGACCCCACCTCCGGCTCTCTTCTTGCGCTTTGGTAGGATCTAAGTTTCCAAAGAATCAAGAGGCATTTTCAACACTGCTTCATTAACCACGAGGATGTCTCTTAACAGTTTGAACCTAATCAATCCTACAGTTCTTATTAGAGCAAAAGGCTCATTATCTGGGAGATTTTTTGCTTTTTGAAGTAAAATTACAAGACTGCGGGCTTATTGCACCGTCCCTTTTGAATATTCCCAGGATAATCTGCATGGTGGGCAACCTGGCCCCCAGCTGCTGACAACAGGCCTGAGCTGGCAAAAGGTCAGGAGGCTGTGTGTGACTGAAGCTAGATCACTAGAGGAATATCGAGCCTGCTTAATGAAGTCAGGGCCATGGATTTGGGGCCTTTTATGATTTTTCTTGATGCACTCAATCTCACCTTCACAGACCGCGCCACTAATCTCAGCCCACATTTTGTGGCCGTGTGCAACTGGTGACTAAGGGACTAGATATATGTAAGTGAATCTCATCTAGAAGCCAGGGGCTAGAAAACCTCTGTGCCTGTAACAAAACTGGAACCAAAAAACCGTGTGCTCGTAGTGAGCCGCGTGACATCTGTAGCCGTGAGATCATAGAGCAGCTCTCCCTGTGACTCACAAGACCAGTTCACACCAGTTCACAAACCAGTTTTTGTTTGCTCATAAGCAAAACAAAAACTCAAAGCCATTAAAACAAAGTCCCAGAATCCAGATTCAGGTACTTCTGATCATCTGCTTGCTCTTTCTACCGGGGGAGTCTAACTCTCTCAGGAACTTATTTGATTCTCCTAAGAACCCTGGGAAGGAAGACAGGCTGTATAAACAAGTGGGTAGATTTTACAGGGAGCTGAAAAGCCCAGGGGAGTGTGTGCTCTCCAGCTTATTCCTAGAATTTGGCTGCTTCCTCTGGTTACCTAAAAAAAAAAAAAAAATAGTTTTTGCTCTTATTTCTATCATATTCAATGTTATGGCACCAACTGAACAGCTGCAGATTCAAAAGCAACAAAATTCTGGCCAGTTGTGTGTCTGGGCTGACGGACACACATCAGTCAGTGGAAGCACACATTCAGCATCTCAGGAGAGCTCATCTCCTGTCATCAGAACCATATGGATGGCGTCTCTGGTTGCTTCTATCTCTATTGTGGTCACTGCGAGTGTCTCCTCACAGACGCATCCTCGATGCTATATTTGGGGACATCAGAGACCCTACAATAAAAATTCCTGGATGATATACTGTTTCGTGTTGTGCTTGGTCTCAATGACTACATGACCACACGTTCAGGCGAAGATTGTCTTTACTTCTCATTAGAAGACGTGATGGACCAAACTTCATAATTTTCAAATCAAGGCAAATTTGACATGTGTGGACATGCTACCAAGTTGTTCAGCAGTCTTTGCCAAACAATATTCTTAGTTATCTAGAGGTTGATATTATTTGCATTTACTTGATATTTTTATAATTTTTTGTCCTAATTGGAGGGTCCTTTAGGTTGATGCTAATATTAACGACTAATAAACTTTAATCTTACTTGTCTATGACTGGGTGTGGGATGCAAAGATGTAGAATAATTGGGAAAAAAATTCAAAGTGAGCAGCTGGTTAGTTCTACATACTCAATTTAGAGGATCGAGGTTAAAGCCTTACTCTTAAATTGTAGCAAAAGGGCCAAGTACTGTTTTCTCAGTATTTCCTGGATCTGAATGAATCGCTTCTTTTTGACTAAAATTGCAGATGGAGGACATGGGAATGTT